TCCTGTTGAACTCTTTCTTAGCCATATCCTCAGGGGCTATTCCACAGAGTCCAGTGGGGTAAAGATGTCCTTTTAATCCCTCTGTCTAATCCTCTCCCCAATACAGGGAATGCTAATCCTGATTCATGAGACACAAAAATTCATCAAACATCTAACTAAATTGCTTCCTAAGAGTTACTGTGACTTACTTTTCTTGTTGCTATCACTGGCTAAATCAGGCAGTAATCCCAGTAAAAAGAAACTATTTATGAACAGCCACAATGTTACCCCCAATGCTGAAAGACAGGAAAGATCATGGTGTTCATATCAAGCCATGAACAATTAAGCACCTAATATACAGAGGAAGGCAGTACACAGCCTCTCTGCATATACTTTATGCATCAGAGTGCTGCTATGTTACGAGAATGCAACTGAGGACTTTACCTCTTGGTTGTAAGCACTAACCCTAGGCAGTTCCATACGTAATTGTCAGGCAATAGGAAGATGCTACAAAATGGCAACTATACCACAGCCAGTCTTGCCCTGTGTCCGTAAGCAATTCCCTTTACTGGTGCCTGGGGACCAGAGCAGCGCAGTTTTAGCAGGGAGACCTTTGAGTGCTCACAGGCTCTGTTGCAGTGGGAATGCACCGTGCCTTTTCAGAGCATGGGTGCTGCCAACATGCAAGTATGCTGTGAAAGAAGATCTAGAAAAGTGGGGGAGCTCTGCCTAGATGTTTGTGCCCTCAATGACAAGCTAGTTATGGACTGAAGTGCCACACTTGAAATGCCTACCTGGGCATTTGGGAGCTGGGTTTAGAAAACACATCGCCAAGCTCTCAGCTGTAGCCAAGCATTGATAGGAATGGCTTGACAAAGCACATGAGGAGTAGTGTAATGGTGATCATTTCCCAGAATTCGAGAAGTGTCTCTTAGCAGAAGTTGTCTACATCCTTATATCCTACCTGTCTTCCCTCTTTGATAAATTTTATTGCAGCCAGAGCCCACAATTAGGTTTTGACAGCTCTTCCCTTTTTACAGGCATCCTGTTCTTTTCATACATGCCTGGCTAACTTCTTTAGATTTCATTACTGTGGATTGCTTTTCATGTCACTGAGCTAAACAGAGACATATTTTTTTCCTTCCCAGGAATCAAGTGGGGGAGGGTGTCCAGCGCATCCAGGCTGTGCAGAGAAATATATACACAGCATATCATTTTGGTTCCTGAATCAGGATTAGACTCAGCGAGAGCTTCTGGAACCTCTGTGGCCACAGCCATAGGACCCTGAATATTTGCTGAATAGGACCCTCAGTCTTCTACCGTGTGAAGAGCTATTGGTTTCAAGTAGCGTAATGTTATCCACTTGTAGCATTAATTCTCCAGCTGACACTATTGCTACTGATAGATTATCTGTATGGTCGTAAGCATTACCCAAATTCAAGTCATAATTTCTGTTCATTAGAATAACCCAGGTTTTACAAGCAACATGATAGCAATGAAAAACAACAAATATGGGAAGCAGTAACAAATACGGTTCGTGTATTTGCAAAAAAGATGCAGTATTGTGAATGGATAGCTTTCTAAATCATATTTTTTTAAGCATGATTGTCATCAGACATTTATATTTTGATGACAAATTGTGTCCTCAGGTTCAGTTGGTGCCTCCTTTCACCTTAAATGAAAATAAATTAATATGGTTCTTTGCAGAAATCCTTCAAATCTGAAAAATCGAAAAAAGGTTGTGTTGGGTGAGAACAAGATACATGTGGTATTTGCAATGACAGTATGTTCTTTTAGAAAGAAGATAGCCATCTGTATAACATAGAGGCAGTTAGTTCTCAACCTTTGTAGATGATTTTCCAGTTGATGTTTCTTAGTTGTGTCCATGACGCTGCAAAAAGTTGAAAGCACATCGCAGGCGGCCACGCTCTGTTGTACAAACGAGAACACACATGTGCGCGCATGTGCACACGCACGCGATGTCATTGTAAAATGCTGTTCCAAATATGTAGTGCCTATGAGGACTTTCTTTAGTATTCATAGTAGAATTAACAGGGCTATTTTACATGATGGTATATTGTAAATGCTGACAAATTCTGACCATTAAAAAAACCCCAAAACAAAACAAAGCAGTGAACTATTTCACATGATGAAATCTATGCCCTGGAACAAGAGCCCCTGGGATAACTTTTTGCCACTTATTTATCCGTGCATGGAGTTCTCTCTTCCTTCTAGTTTTTCTAGAGAGAATTTGATTTAAGTTTTTATGTGGGGATTTTTATTTAAAAAATGCAAAGGCAAAGTATGGGTATTTTATACAATCTAGTTGCCTGCTACATGCTCACAGATAGGGAGCCCTGGTCTCTACGTATAGTTCACATAAGTTTATGTGCATACACATTGCTTCATGTCTTGTACGTATTGAATGCTCACCAAGCATTTTGGATTTGCAGTTTTGCTGACACAAATATGCATGCACAGCTTGACAAAAATATTTGAAATTTTGATCCAAAATCTGAAAAATTAGTTTTATAACTTATCAGTTGAGGATATTGTAGAAAATCAAAATTGCTAGTGGGTAAAGCACGGCTTGGCCCTAGCGTGAAATCTTGGATCTGTTGTAAATGTGCGCTGCAGCTATAAAGCCGAAGTCTTGTAAGTACAGTGGTTTTCAAAACTCTTATGCCATGCTATGAAGAATACAGCTGCCACATACAGGGATACTCCTGGCAAACTAAACAACTCTTCAAAACCTGCCCAAGCAAAATTTCAGGTGGGTAACTGGGCATTTCCAGAAGAACAAAACCCACATACATAAAGTTGCCCTGCCAAAACTCTTTCACTGCACTTTCAACAGAAGTTTTTTCTCAGCAGGACAGCGATAAAATACAATGTTCATATCTGTTCATGCATGATCCTCACTTCAGGCAAAATCCTGCACTCTACTCAGGCTCATCTCCCAGGAGTCAACATGGGGAGATGTGCATGAGCAAAGAAGGAGGACCTCTTCCTTTGGAGTAGAGGTCTTTGATTTCCTGGACAAATCATTATACATGCATCCCTGTCTGGAATGCAGAGCAGGCAGCCGCACGCTTTCCCACTGCAACGTTAGCAACAGCAAAGGAAAACAGCTAGGCAGCAGGCTCATTTGGGGTCCATGGAGGAGCTCAGAAGCCTTTCTAAGATTTGTGTTTAGCAACTCAAAGGGGCATCAACTGAAAAGTAGTATCATTATAATTGCCAGTGGTTTTTTATTTTATTACCATACTCAGTTTATTTAATGCTTAAGAGTCTAGCATCAAGAGAATGATTTTGAACACAGTTCTATTAAGAAAAAAAAAAAAAGAAAAAGAAATCTCTGTTCAGTGAGCATTTAAAGTGAAATCCAGCATGCCTCAAAGGTTTAGGGATGAGGAAGAAAACCTAATTTTTTTTTTAAGTTCTCCTAGTTCTTGCTGACTCATAACTTGCAAACTGTTACTCAGGCTGTGGCATAACTATGTGCTTTTTACAAATATCTGCCTTCTCATAGCAGTGCATATATGGAATTATAGCTATTTTCTATATTTGAATACATCACTCTCTACCCATACACGCCACTTAACCAATGCTGTTCCCGAGACCTGAAATATTTTCACGTTATGAGTGAGTAGACTGCTGCTGTCTTTGGACTATAGTACAATAATACAACAGCACATTGGAAGCAACAGAGGATATACTGCTACAAAATCACTTGGAAACCCAGAGAAAACTATGATCTCAATACTGTTCAGTCCTTCTTTTCTGAACTATAATTCTCAGAGGTAAATTAGTAGAAGGCTTGCAAGAATAATTTCAAAGCTGCAACCCTCATTTGTTTTTTTATTTCCTGTGAATGCATAATTATGCTGTATGACGAGTATTGTAATTCTGAAATAGAAAAGGAAATCCCTTAGAAATTCATCTCAGCAAGATTTTAATCCCACTTCTCTCATTAACACTGTGCTATTAAACTGTTACTTTTAGTTTTCCATAACAAGCCACCATTTCAGATGTTATTTTATGAAAAAGCAGTGAGTGTCAATGGGAAAGCCTTCCAAGCTACTGACACTGAGGAAGAGTATAATGAGCAGTTCTGTGATAATCCCATGCCAAAATACTCATGGCACAACCCTTCTGCAGTTGAGTGCTCAAATATTTCTTTATCTGTTTCTACTGAAATCACAAGACATTAAAAGCATTTCTGTTCTCTTTTGTTTCATTTTTCCCTATAAATAATCCTGGCAAAAGACGAACACACATACATCTCAATCTAGGGAAGCAGAGACTACCAGAACAGAAAGCAAACATGTAGTATTAAAGACCCAGTGCTCAAACTGTTCCTACCAGTCAATCCACACTTCACCTTTCT